TAAAAAAAAAAAACGGAAAAAAAAGCTACTACCTCTTTATCAGCAATTCTAAAGAAAGGATGAAAGGAAGATTGATTTGGTAACTTTTTTTTTCTTCCGGAATTTTTTTCCGGAGTTTTTTTTTTTCCCGAAAAACTTTCATTTTTCATTTATTTTATTACAACTAAATTTTTACAACATATTTGGAGAAATATTTCAATAAATTGATTCTTTTTTGAATTATATTTTTGAAATTTTTCTTGAAAAAAAAAAAAGAAATGAAAAAAAGATTTTAATAAACTAATCAACCGTCCTTCCTTTTTAAAAATCAAACTATTTTAAATGATTTTATTAAGTGAAATTATTCAATTAATTATATTTGTCTTTTAATTTTATGCAAAATTTACAGTTAGTTGATCAAAAATCAACAAAACATGCCCTAAAATGGTTATTGTATTGGGCAATATTTGGTACATTTACATTAATTGATCATCTTGCTGATACTATTAATAAAATTTTGCCAATTTATTGGCTTATTAAGGTAATTTTAAAATTAAGCATGAAATTTGATTGAAGTAAAAAATGAGGTAAATTTAATATGAAATACAATGGAAAAGTCAAAATAGATTATCTGAAATTAGCTTTTTTTCTTTTTTTTTGTTTTTTGATTTGGTATAGTTTTTAAATTTATCTTTCTATTTGAAATAATTTTTAATTAAAAATTATTTTCTTTCCTGTTTCAGATTTAATGAAATATGAAGGAAAAGGTTAAAATTGGCTGAAATTATTTTTTGTTTTAGTATAATTTCTATTTTTGCTTTTTTACATAATTTTTAATTGAAAACTTGTTAAATAACTTTTTTTTCTCTTGCTCCATAGTATCTCTTTTCATTAATTACAATTCATTATTTCATTATTTTAATTCATTGTTTTGTTATACAAATGTATTATTATTTCTAATTTTACATAATTATTAAATAATCTGAAAAGATTTTTGAGAGTAAAAAAAATACATTAAAGTTAATCGTTTTTCTCTCTCTTCCTAAGGATTTTAATAAATTTAATAATAAAATTTGGATTATATTCAAATACGTTTTTTTTCTTTGTTTTTAATAATATAAGCCATTTTTCCAAAATATTAAATTCCAGTATTTTAATTAAAATAATCATCGGTCAACTATTTTTCAAAAACACTAAAATTCCAATCTCTTAACTTTGCATAAATTTCTATTTAACTTCATTTAAATCGAAATATTCATTAAATTTTAATTATTTAATCTCTGCTACAGCAAAATTTAATCATTTTACACTTTTAAAATTTAGTTACAGCACACTTTTTGTTAATTATAAATTCTTTTTTTAAAAATTTTTTACTTATTTGATTATAAATTTTGTTAATTATCAAATTTTTTTGAATTTTTTCATTTAATTGATTATAAATTTTATTCATTAAATGCATTTTATACTTTTTCAAATATATTAAATATATTTAATTGAAGTGCACATTTTGTATTTATTTATTCCTACCTCAAACTAATGGAGCAAATCGTTTTCGTGATACCATTTTAGCACCAATTTTCAAATTATTACATTATAAACCTCGAGAGATTGTTTCATTGTAAGTCAAAATTTTAAAAAAAAAAAAAAAAAAACTACGTTTATCATAATTTATTAAAATTTTTAAGCATAAATAAAATATATTTATTGGCAAGAATTTATTCCAACCTTAAATTACCTCTAAGATTTTACTTCCATATTTCATTTAAAATTTTAATTCTATTTGAAAATTAGAAATTCAAGAATATTGCTAATTTCTGTCAAAAAAAAAGAGAAAATTTGCAAATTTTTTGTTTTGAAATATGAATTAATTATTCAATTTATTTTATTTTCATTATTTATTTGTTTATTATCATTACTGTTTGTTCTTTTCTTCTTCTTCTTTTTTTTTTCAAATGATTTAAGATTTGAGTTACAAATAAATCGAGCAAAAAATACTGAAATACGTGCTAAAGCAGTCGATTCATCAACATCACCTATTCAAGTTAATGTCGCAAAAAAAGTTGATGTCGTCCGAAAAGCACAAATTCCGATTATTTTCATTATTGGTAACAATCATAATAGTTAAATTTTACTAAAATATATCCAAAATTTTGTTTATTTTAAATTTTAATTTGAAATTTTAAACAATTGATATAATATTTGATTTATAATTTTATAATAAATTTTTTGATAAAAATTATTCTAATTATTTTTCTCCTAAATTAAATTAGGTGCACCTGGTGCTGGAAAAGGAACACAATGTGCTAAAATGGTTGAAAAATACGGTTTAACACATCTTAGTACCGGTGATCTTTTACGGAATGAAATTGAATCAGCTGGTGCAAAAGCTGAAACATTAAAAAAAATGATGCAAAATGGTGAACTTATTCCAATGGTTATTATTATTTTTTTAAAATTTACAGTATATTTGTCACATTTTTCTCTTTCTACCTTTCTTTCTCTCCCCTTTCTCTCTCTCTCTCTCTCTCTCTCTTCTCT